CGCTTCGCGCAGGAGGGGGAGGGGGGGGGGGACTGAATTTAGACAAGGATTAAGAGTCGAGAACGGTACAACGAATCGTCTTCTTTCTCTAATGATTTAAGGATTCGTAAAAGCTTCCACGCTTCGCGCTGAAGGGGAAAACTAAATTCAGACGAGGATTAAGAATCGAGAACTGTACAACGAATCGTCTTGTTTCTTTAATATTTTGATGAAACGTCAAAGCTTCCGCGCTTCGCGCAGGAGGGGGAGGGGGGGGGGGACTGAATTTAGACAAGGATTAAGAGTCGAGAACGGTACAACGAATCGTCTTCTTTCTCTAATGATTTAAGGATTCGTAAAAGCTTCTACGCTTCGCGCGGAAGGGGGAAAACTAAATTCAGACGAGGATTAAGAATCGAGAACTGTACAACGAATCGTCTTGTTTCTCGAATGATTTAATGAAACGTAAAAGCTTCCGAGCTTCGCGCGGAAGAGGGGAAAATCTAAATTGAGACGAGGATTATTTTCGAAAACGGTACAACGAATCGTCTTCTTTCTTTCATGATTTAATGAAAATTAAAAGCTTCCGCGAGAGGGGGGGGGGGACCTGAATTCAGACGAGGATTAAGAGTCGAGAACGGTACAACGAATCGTCTTCTTTCTTTAATATTTTAATGAAACGTCAAAGCTTCCGCGCTTCGCGCAGGAGGGGGAGGGGGGATGAATTTAGACAAGGATTAAGAATCGAGAACTGTACAACGAATCGTCTTGTTTCTCGAATGATTTAATAAAACGTAAAAGCTTCCGCGCTTCGCGCGGAAGGGGGAAAATCTAAATTTAGACGAGGATTATTTTCAAAAACGGTACAACGAATCGTCTTCTTTCTTTAATATTTTAATGAAACGTCAAAGCTTCCGCGCTTCGCGCGGGAGGGGAAAAATCTAAATTCAGACGAGGATTTTTTTCAAAAACGGTACAACGAATCGTCTTCTTTCTTTAATATTTTATTGAAACGTCAAAGCTTCCGCGCTTCGTGCAGGAGGGGGAGGGGGGGGGGACTGAATTTAGACAAGGATTAAGAGTCGAGAACGGTACAACGAATCGTCTTCTTTCTCTAATGATTTAATGAATCGTAAAAGCTTCCACGCTTCGCGCGGAAGGAGGAAAACTGAATTCAGACGAGGATTAAGAGTCGAGAACTGTACAACGCATCGTCTTGTTTCTCGAATGATTTAATGAAACGTAAAAGCTTCCGCGCTTCGCGCGGGAGGGGACAATCTAAATTCAGATGAGGATTATTTTCGAAAACGGTACAACGAATCGTCTTCTTTCTCTAATGATTGAAATAAACTTAAAAGCTTTCGCGCTTCGCGCAGAGGGGGGGGGGGGAACCTGAATTCAGACAAGGCTTAAGAGTCGAAAACTCTACAACGAACCGTCTTCTTTCTCTAATAGTTAAATAAATCGTAAAATTTTCCGCGCTTCGCGCGGGAGGTGAAAAACTAAATTCAGACGAGAATTTTTTTTCGAGAACGGTACAACGAATCGTCTTCTTTCTCTAATAATTTAATAAAACGTCAAAGCTTCCGCGTTTCGCGGAGGAGGGAGGGGGAAACTCGCCCCTCCCTGCACCGACCCCCCCCCCCGCATTATGTCACTGTTGGTCACCATTACGTACCAATATTTGGCTCGCAAAATTTCAAATTTGGGCCCCCCCCTAAGAAATCCTGGATCCGCGCCTGGAACCTCCCCCCTTCCCAAGCCCCGACAGCCCGCCTCTAAATATTTTGTCTATATACATCCGCGCCTGGTACATAGAACTTTAGTCACCGCAATCGGTGATAAATTGGACCGTTACCATAAGCGGATAAGGGCATTGTTTTTCATTCTGGATTTCAACCAGCAAACCGGCCGGAAAACAGGCCATTTCCGATTCAAGTTCGAGTGTATTTTGTGACCTTATTGCCCTAGTTAGCGTCTTGTTTTTTTCGTAACCAAGCGATATCCAAATTCAGCTCGCCAAGGAAACCAGCGCATGCGCAAATCGTAACCGTTAGGGTTAGTAATAGGGTTATAATAATCATGCAAACCCACCTTTCATCAACCCATCGTTACCTAAATCGGTATAAGGACAGCGTAATAGAACGTTGGAGTTGTGGGTTCGAATTTCATTATCTATTCATTTCTATTTTTTCCTTTATAAATAGTGAGGCAGAACAATAAATAATCAAAGTCTAAATATTTGTGACCTCTTTCCAAGCTTTTGTAATTTGACATGATTGACAAGATGTATGGAAATGAGTTCATACTGGAATCTGGGCTCGCTTGGTACGACAAAAATAATACGCGCCCCGCTTCGACCATGTTCATGCTTCGACCTCCTCTTTCTTTCGTATTGGCCTTCCCCCCCCCCCCCCTCTCTCTCTCTCTCTCTCTCTATCTCTCACCCTTTCTCTCTCTCTCTCTCTCTCTCTCACTACAGTGTATTTATCTCGATATTTCCTCCCGGAGGCGCCTTTCCGTTGTACACGTCAGCCCATGGAATTCGTTAAAAATTTCGCTTTTGCAGCTGGAGAGGGGGATATAACCTATTTGGATCTTTATGGGTCTAACTCATCTTTTAAATTGCTCATTATTTGTGGTTTCAATCAAAAGTAACGTAATATAAACGGCATGACATTTTTTTAATTTGTTTATAATTGAAAATGAATGATATGATTTTTGCTAGTTCCACATTCAAGTAATACAGCTGGCGATAGCGTTTTATTGCATTTTTAGATCACACTATCAGTATACGGAAAGAAACCCATTTATTCCATTTACCATAAACGTGTTTTCGGGGTGATTTATGACTTTAATGGCGAGAAGCACGATCATACATTTGCAGTTAGACTCCTGCGCCACCAGTTTGCATGAAGCAGTGATGAATATTTAGCTTGGCTATTGTGTAAAATGGAAACGTGCCTTCCTGAACAGACTATGGCGACAAACTTGACCACTATCAAACTCTAGGTGGCACTAAACCATACAGTAGCAAAACATATAAACATAATGACAGCAGAAGGAGCCGTGCTATTAAATAAAAACAGATGTGAAAATAAATATATAAATTTAAAAAGTTTAACAGCGTTTCGATAAATAGTCACCTTGAAATCATAACTCGACTGAAATTTCAGTGAGGTGAACAGGTCTGAAAGTTTGCTGACCACAAAAAAAAAAAATAATAATAATATTTCATCATTTTAAAATATACACGAAAATCTATGTGCACATGGACTGTTCATTCAGGCTACGTGCTAAACACACACACACACACACACACACGATTTTTATTTCAATAGTTTTTTTCGGATTCCAAATATAAAAATCAATCTTAGAAATAGAATACAGTTGTTTTTCATCTTGACATGAATTCAAAACATTTTCATTACATAGATTGTACGATTGATGAAAACAAAAATGAAATCAATTATAACATAAAACAAATCACCGCATCCAACCAAACAAACTACTACCCCCCCCCCCCCCCCCCACCATGCGACACACACCCCACCCGACCAAATTGGAGCGACAGACAACATAAACAATATCTTTAAAATTAAAAAAAAAAATCATTTAAGAGGATACACACATATAAACAATTCATAAATGAATGATACACGCCTTTAAAACTAAAACTACAATGTCAACATACACACACGCATTTATGCATGAGCAGGGAGAGAGAGTGATGGAGAAAGAGAGAGAGACAGACAGAGACAGACACAGGGAGAGACAGACAGAGAGCGAGAGCGAGAGAGAGAGAGAGAGAGAGAGCTAGAGGAGGCCAGGGGGAGACAAAGAGAGAGAGAGAGAGAGAGAGACAGAGAGACAGACAGAACGAGAGAAAAGAGAAGATAAATATATAGAGGGGGGGGGGGGGGGGGGGGGGGGGGGGGGAGGAGTTCAAGTAAGGAGTTACCGATAATTGCACATTATCATTGCTAATAATACCAAACAACAATTCATGACTAAACAGTATATTGAGGGGGCATCATTCTTTTTACTGCTACTTTGAATGCAAACTCTGAGTGAATCTTACATTTGATCCAAATGCAGGGAATTCCGGGCCACTTTGTATTTATTGATAAATGTGCCGAAGCATTTTTTGAGATTGAATAGGCGAAATTTATTAGACTGTCTTGTTGGATAAGAATGTAGGTCTTTGTATATCTTTGAAAGGGCAGCTAGAGCAGGAGGCAATTGGCAGTGGTAAAGATTAAACATAAAGAGTGCAGTCTGTAAAAATTTGATACCAACATTTTGAGGGTATTCAATTTAACAAAAACAAGGGGCGATGTAATCTCTGTAGCGTACAAATACGTATTGACTTTAAAAAAAAAATATCTTAGAATTGAATCGTTCAGACATTTGGAATTCGCCCATATTAATACAAAAAGTAAGTACCCGTCAGGCCTTTGTCACTCGCATAAATATAGAATCCGTATTTGCCATATTCATAAACACATTCATAAAATAACAGCGGATTGCCGCGTCATATATGACCGATCCTTAACCCGTTAACTTCTGAACTCCCAAATTTCAAATGGCTTAATATAGGAACCACCAGTTTCCAGTAGAGAATGGGTTAAAGAGAAGGTTGAGTTCTGGGAAGAGGTGAAAAATAATTTGTGAGCGTTATCATTCTTATTATGCAAGTGTGGAAGAATATCAGATAAGACATGTTCCCTGAAAAGCATGGCTCTTTAAATGTCTTCATGATATTCTAAATATGTCATGTAACATCGTCAACCTCCAGGGTAGGATTGTTACGCCACGTGTTCGTGTAATCCCATATACATCTTTCTGTGTACAGTGTTTGTAACTTTACCAAGACTTGGCCAAATTTCTTATCATTTTGATAATTCCAGAACCTTGCAATACACACAAAATCTTATATGCTAGATGATCAACCTTTTCTGGTCGATTCCACACCGTTTCTTTCACAATGCAATCGCATGACCAGAACTCAAATTCATCTTTAAAGGGTTTCGCTCAAACAGTCTCTCCCTCCATCTGTATTCGTCCCGCTAGGCAATATGAAATGGGCTGTTGGAGAACGACAGAGTAGCCATCAAGCGATCCTTGACGAGCTCTTTACTCGTGTACATAGGGAGATCCAGTGTGCGGTTATACTCGTTGTTATCGCAGCAGTGGGCCACTGGACACAATCTCGACATCCTGTCTTCGCTAGACTCCTCGTCGTGGTCGTCGACGGCATCGTCCCTGGGGATCTGGAGTTCTGCGATGGTGAGACCTAGGTTCTGCAACCCACCGACCGGTACGCGATCAGACCCCGCCACAAATACTGCATGAAAACGGAGTACATGCATGCATTGTAATTTTTGCCCATACACAAAACATAGCTATGATATTCGCTGACACCAGACTTTGTGGAAATACCATTAATAGATGTACAAGTTTGCAAAAGCATACGCGTAATTCATCAAAAAATGGAACAAAAGTCACTTGAAGAGTCTCCGGGTGAGGAAAAATGTAAGATAACGACTAATAACCATATCGGGGAATGGTTGGAAAAAGACAGAGCATAACATAAGGCCTGTTATTATTATTATACAAATGATTATCATTATTATCATTACTGTAGATGTTGTTTGTATGATTTTTGCTTTAATTGTTTGGTTTTTGTTGTTGCTGGTGGTGATCAGATGACGGCAAACAAATGTCAACGAGTTTAACGCGAGGCAAACGGAAAGATAATGGGTGCCGGAAAAAAGGGGAAGTCAAGCTTCTAGTTTCTTTTAGAGAGGCAGACCACCCCCCCCCCCCGCCGGGGAGGGGGGGAGGGGCAGCATGCCTGTCTTTGATGTCGTATAAACAGGATACGGTGTGTATGTAACATAATATACAGTATCAAGATTCAGCCAAAGTTTCCCACTTACCTAGAAACTCCCTTTTCTGGTTATCGTCTAGAGCGTGAAAGACTTCCCAAAACATCTTGATGGTTGAATGTGAGTCTGTGTAGGGATCTTTGTACCGTGTAGACTGGAGACAATGAAATTTAAAATTTAGGTCTACTCTTTTCACCTGTAAATTATCCATTTCAAACATTCTGAAGCATTCAAAGTTTCAGGTCTCAAAGTATTGTGTGAAGCGTATGGTCTACATGTCAAATATTTGAAAAGATTTTCGATATATCAACTTAGGGCAATGTTAAACAACATGTTGTGTTGCTTAAGAGAATCGTGTTCGGATTACGTAATATATGAACTTACAACTGCAAAAACATTGGATTTAAAAAAGTGCCATCAAGAGTAATTATGTTTCCCCTCAATTTTAGGCATTTTACTTTGGGAAGTAACTGTTCTATATTTCGGCCTATAATTGGACAAAATGTTACCTCTAAGTGTAAAGAAAATGCCCAATGTTGGTTGGATCGATACATTATTAATCTCGTGCTGGGCAAATGTATAGCCTTTACTGACACCAAACGAGACCGACGGCTCATAATACTGACAGCCCACTAGCCCTGTGAGTTTCGGCTAACAAAGATAAGAACGATAAAGATTACTCAAGTTGCGTTTATCGACCAGATTTTTGGCTAGAATCAGGTTTCTCAAACGTCCTTCAGGCAAATTTAGAAGGTGATTAACGCAAAGCCTTTTTTAAAGGGCTTATAGATATGGGCATATCTAAAGATGCAAAAAGGTGTGTTTTGAATGTGACATACAGCCAGAATCACGTTTCTGAGAGATCGATAAACGCAAAGCTGTTTTGAACCTCACATACAAATAGGAATTCCCAGGCTGGTCTGCTTCCCGGGTCAAACGGCGCTGAGCAGCTGCGAAGAGACAAGGCCTTTACTGTGAATCGTGAAGAGACGATAAACGCGACATCCCGCAAATCACGATCGTATAGTGGGGTATGATAGTGGGGAACGATATGTACATATCTAGTGGCAAGCCCCGATAAACGCGCCCTTACTTACCGCTTGAATTCACGAGAATTCAAGAACGGAACATCGTTCGTTTGATACGGGTAGAACATAGGACCATTATGATAGTAACAAAATAAAATCTTCAAAAGTTACTTTTAAGAACTTTAACCTATTCAGTTGGTTGTTGTGTTCTGAAAATATACGAATCCTTATTTCACGGATTGATGTTTATGGCATTGCAGGCCTGCTATACAGCCTACCTTCTCGAGGGCGTCCCAATCAAAGTATTTATCGCCAGTGACGAGGGCTTCTAACTCGACAGGTCTAAAGATACCCAAGACTTTGGTGTCACAGACTTTGTTGAACCCTTGTTGGAAACGGGCAAATTGCAATGGAGCAAGGTAATCTCGTACCTTCTTCTTCACATACAGGTGTCTATGAGAAAAACAAGGCAGATAACATGTTAACGGTACACACAGTAATGGCTGCTACAGAGGTTCCAGGTAAAAATGTCAGAGATAAAAATGTCAGAGGTAAAAATATCGGAAGTAAAATGTGCATGCATTGTGTGCGGGTAAGCTTGAATCCGATGACCGGGGTAATAATATATCTGTAAAGCGCTTAGGCACATCGTTGGATCGATGTATTGAGCGCTATATAAACAAGGAATATTATTACTATTATTATACCAGTTTTCTGGTCTTGATTAGGATGCTGTATTAAACGATAACTCCTCAGTGGTCTCATAGGAAAGTTAACAGTATGCCGCAGATCTGCCGCAAACCTTTAGTCTGCGGCAAATATTATGCCGAAGTATGCGGCAGAACAAAATGTTGCTGCAGATTCGCTGCATACAATATGCCACAGGAGCAGTCTGCGGCCAATCTGCCACAGAAAAGTGGGAAATTATACAGTCTGCGGCAAGGCTATAGGCTGCCATTTTGGAGGACCATGCAACCAACCAAGTATACCATGAGGTTGCAGGCTGTGGTCAGCATGATCTAATACATTCCTGTGTTAGGCACTGTCATTTTTTTTTTGGAGCTTCTGTGAAACCAACAAATATGTGATTTGCTTCAAGTAGGTGCTGATACCATGAAAGGAATTTGTTTCATAACAAGGAAATTAAGAAATTAACGGACTGTTTCAAACTTTTTTGTTGTGCCATGTGGTCAGGATCTTATCTTCAGCCCCACTAACTAATTATTTTGTTGTACCTCTTGTGTAATGTGTCCACAGTAGCATATGGATATGTGACTGTACTCTGGACTATCTGTAGGCAGTTATTGTATTTTGCCTCTACCTCTACTTCTGCATTGTGTTAAGCCACATTTGAAGAATTTTTGTAGCAATTTTGCCTGTTCTGTTTGTTCTTCTAGGTGCTATAATGTAAGATTTTAATGCATGCAGCTCTCCAGGAGCTTCCTGCGATGAGGTTGCATACTTAATTGCTACATACTTGCATGTGGAAACCTTGCAGCAGACTGGGTGGATATGAAAGAGTATGCGGCAAGGCAGCGACAAAGTATGCAGCAAGTATGCGGCAAATATGTAGCGGGTCTATATATATATGAAATTCATTAATGTTCATGATACAGAGTATGCGGCAAGTATCTTCAGGTCAATAATGGGATATGAAATTCATGAATATCCATGATAAAGAGTATGCGGAAATGTTGCGGCAAGTCTGCAGCAAAACTAATTTGCCTGTGAAAATGATGACTGTCTGCAGCAAGTCTGCCGAAGGTCTGTTTCTTTGTTACGGGCTGTTACAAGGATGTGTGCCTACATATTATACGACAAGGCCATTAACAGTTCCCCTCTAGGTTGACTTTTCGATAGTCTTTTCGATCGTGTCTACATATAATTTTATCTTCTTACACGTTTGCTTCGGTGACCTCGACTCTTTCTCCATTCTCTAGCTCTAGCTCTAGCTCTAGCTCACTCAATATATCTTCCTCTGTCGAAAGTAGTTTCGACATTTGATCTGCGAAGTCCTTGTCAAGCTCTCGAATTTCCTCCATTTCCTCATCGGGGCTTAAGATCAATCATAATAAAAAACAGACATGCGTTATGTAAAGTAAATGTATTTCAGGATCTTGTCTCCAAATCAGTCTCGATTGATCCGGAGTGATATCAAGTTCTGCAATCAATTATAAAGGTAGAGGCCATTGATATCTATATGCAGCATATGCAAGGCTAAGTGTGTGAACAATTTTTTTCAATCGAGTAATTAGTACCTGGAACATTTTACCAGCTAAAGGTGGTGATATCGATCAGTACATTCAGTGAATTCTTTTCAGAATCGGCATGATAAACCATGGATGAATGCTGCATTTGTGTACGACCTTGACTAATCAGTAGGGTAACTTACTCATGTCACCCTTGGTGAGCATTTCATTCTGATTGGCCACACCCCTATCACGTTTTTTTTTTTTTTTTTAGGGGGGGGGGGGGTACTTTCTCCTCGGAAAAAACAAATATGCAGATGCTAATTACTCGCCAGGGTAAATAAATTGTTTTCATAACAAATGATCGACGAACAAGCTTTGTCTTTAAAAGCATCGTTGTATGAAAGTAGTAGATAATTAATTGTAACGATTGAATTGAAACAAAACTTCCTATTAAGATGGTGACCCGGTATTAAACAAAAAAATAGAATATTGTAGGCTGGCATGACAAGCATTATGTCAAAACAAACTGCTTGCAACATCTTGAACTATCAGGAGAAAGTGCTTAATCATTGACCAAGACACATCTAAAATAAATTTCCTACCCTTTTCCAAGTAGCTTCGCATAGAGCAGTTGGGGGAAAGCTGGCAGTGGTACAAGTGCGTTGTTGAACAATGACAGCCCAAACAGTAGACCACACATCATCGCTGTATCGTTGGTAGGGCATTCCTGTTATATTCAAATAATTATTATCTTGTGTAAAGCAATGATTACATTTAACATGCATTATTGCACACAAAATAATACTAATTGCATGGAATGGTGTACTTAGTATTTAAAGCAATACTAAACTAATGGCCATTTCTGCCCTAGCGTATATTTCACAGCGTCAACTCATGGTGTACTTGCCAACAATGCGTAACCTAATTCCAACTTCGTAGACAGAGGACTCGTACTGAGAACTAACGAACCAACAGTTCAGAAAGGGAACCAGCGATTTCCGGGGCCAGTCATAATTTTATAAGCAAAGTTTATGCAAAAGTATATACAAATTAAGGAGGATATTTTCAAAGTATGTATTTGTTTTCAGTATACGCACTGTAAACCGCATTACACACCCGGGCACGTATTATAAATGTTTAGTGCCACGTAAATTGATTTATATGTTTGCAAACAGAATATTGATCTGTTACATTACATTGTGAATTGATTTATATGTTTGTAAACAGAATATTGATGTACATCAATGAAGTTTAATAAATACAAAACAAAATACACGTTATAGCTTCTCAGCCAATAGGATATGCTCTCTAACAATATCTTATTTCATATACAGGGTCAAATGCCTGTCTTGACAAACCCACTGACAATGAATTGCGATATGTTAATGTATACCGTGCATGCGCGTACGGAGGGGGGGGGGGGGGGGGGTTAAGGGGTTAATCCCCCCTTGGTATTTTTATGTGTGTATTTTTAAGAACCCCCCCCCCCCTTTGATTTGATTTTTTTTATCATAAAAAAAAAAAAAAATTATGCCCATGGCTGACCTAAAAAAGATTACCTCACCCCCCCCCCCCCAACGAAGAAAATGTGAATTTGTCTAATTTCGAGACCAAACAAAAAAGTGTCCTCTTACTCCCCCCCCCCCCGCTTATTCAGCGGCTGCCTGAGTCGTTGCGAAATTGTCGGCCCGATTTCAAAATGTTAACCCCCCCCCCCTTGAAAAAATCCTGCGTACGCTACTGATACCGTGTATATTGTTCAACAAAAATTACCTCTCTGAACCAGACTTGGGACTGTGTCGGGTCATGTGCGTTGATATATCGGAAAAGGACGTTCTTTTCCGGGTCTAGAAGTTCGTCAAACACGTGCCGGAAAAAATCCTTAAGTTTGAGCAAATCGAAGTACACAATACAAAGTCGTATTTAAGGGGAAGAAGAACAAATATGAATTTCATAACTAATTATACAATATTTCCGTTTATAGTTAGGACATCTCCTTTTATACTAATTTCTTTACTTCTGTTGACTTTAAACTTTCGGAATAATAATGTGGAGAAATTTTATTTGTGTTATTGTTTGCATTTTAGGAAAGATATTAACACCTTTCATTTAACAAAAAACGAATTCGCAGAAGAGTATTATGTCAAAAGCATATTCGGAATTGTACATAAGAAAAGACTTTGTGAGATGTGAAGGAAAGGAAATTGTTTTCATAATAATAATTATGATAATAACATTATTAACAATATCAATAATAATAACAACAATAATAATGATGATGATGATTGCCCTGCAATGCGATAACTATTACCCTAGCAATTGCAAATGTGGATTAATGTCTTGCTGAAGGACGATAGTACTGAGCGGAGATTCGAACCCTCAACCATTGGTCAAGTGAATGAACCACTAAACTAAGATGCCTCCTCATTTGCTCACATACATGTTAATATACTCAACTGTGCTGTGGTGGACTAATGCCAATATAATAGTATACCACAATGCATTTGAGTATCTGAGCTACATGATCTACTATATTATTATCCTTATTATCTTTATTTTTATCATTTTTAATATCATTATCATTATTGTCATCATTATTATTATAAATATCATTATCATCTGTGATCACTTCACATACTATTTGTTTACCGTCCTAAACTCATCATTCTCTTACAAAACTAATAGCTTTAAAATACTAATCACTTACCATACCAATGCCTTACCAAACTTATATCTTAAATACCTTAGTGTACTTATCCCTCATCACATTATTATTTACACATACTTACCCCGTACTAAACTAAACCCTTTAATCCCAAAACACGATAATCTTGCACCATATTTATCATATAGCTCCGTTTAGTCTCATTTGACAATGCCCCCTATCGTCAGAGTCAGCAGCATAACATGTTAGCCTATGGATTCATTCATTTTTTGTTTAAACGAAAAGCACATCTATCCCGACGTACGCTATCACTAGCTCTTTCATTGGAACCATCATGTCTCAATGACTTTTGAAAGTTCACCAACGTAATTTCATCAAAATAGGTCGCAAACTCGTCATTGCCTATATAACACATATACAACAAGTCGAACTTTGGACTTAATTTACCACGCGATTGTAAGGTTAGAAGTCAAGCACACGAAGGATAAGAAGCATGAATTATCATAGATCAGTTCTGATTTGTTCATTATGCCAATTTCATTCAACCCATTTTAGTAAATTTTTAGTTTTAGTATTTTTCCATTTTGTAAAAGGCAAGCATTTTGCCGAGGTAAGCAAAAACATGAATATTCATGAACGGTCAGACAATATAGCCTTTTAGTTCGTAACGTATAGTGAGCCGTATCGCTCTCGGAAGTGTAAAATGGCCGCCGCGCGTGCGAGCCCACTTCAAGCGTTATCACGGGCGGGAATGGGCGATGATCCTCCAGCAGGTAGAGGTCAGTGGTTTGTGCTGGCAATGTTCCAGCGAGTGAAAATGAGACAACCGGAGCAATATGATATTTTATTAATCCCTTACCATACTAAAAACTTATCACACCATTCCCTGACAAACGTTTTTCACCATGCATATCCCTCAGCATATTTTTTTTTACCACATGTACTAATCTATTACCACATCCCATCTTTTACCACAATTATCCTTTACCACACTATTATTTTACCATATCCAATCTGTTATCCTACTAATGACTTACCACACTCAGTGCTCCCTCGTCAATACCCATTTCCCCTTCAAAGATGACCATGAGAGGTTTCTGAAGGTTAGACTTGGGAAGCCTCAACATCTCTAAGAGTCGCTCCCGGACACTCGTCCCGAAGAAGTCATCCCGCTTTACGACGAGCTCAAGGCGTGGATTAGGCATGGGAGGGGGTGGGGGCAGATTTATGTAAGGATTGAACATGAACATTTGTTCCAACCATAGCCTTTCCATGAATGCCATTTCCATCATTTCTCTTTCCGGTTCCGTGGCAATCTAATAAGTTTTAGAAATGTTTAAAGATAATAGTTGTAGAGTTAAAGTTGAGTTCTTTTCGTAATTTTGCATTGTAAGATAGACTGTATGGATGCAATTGGAACTTATCATTATTACTATTGTCATTCATATTTATTATTATCATTTTTATTATTATTGTCATTAATGTTATTATTATTATCATTGTGATTATTTTTATCATTTATTTTATTGTTAGTATATTATTATCATTTATATCATCATCTTTATCACTATTACCATATTTTTATATCATAATCACTCAATCGACGTCAAAATACCGACTGGTATGTGCCCCCACACTTAAAATGTGTTCATTGACGCCTACCTCTTGCTGTCTCTTGTGACTGTGTTCTAACAGATTTGCCTTTTCTTTCAGATCAATGAGGAATGGATATGACATCGCAGAACATTCCTGGGATCGCTGCAACGGGACGAAGAAAAAAAAGCGGGATGAGAGAAAAATACCGAAGTGTGACGACATACTGGCAAAGGTTGCTGGCTCCATACGATTTTGTGCTAAACAGTTTTATGGCGGTCACACCAAAACTCTCTATTCTCCAGCTTGAATGATTTCGCGCGGTCGTTCAAAAGATTTACTGTATACACAAATTATGAAACGTGGGGCAAGGGTAACAGAAAAAGAAACAATCCAAGCAGCGGAAGTAAACAGAAGCGAGAGGAAATATAAAACAGGAAAAGTAGGAGAGAGCCAGATGGAGCTAAAAAAAAAAGAAAGAAGAGGGAGCATGAAATATGAATGGGGTTTGTCTCTAAAAATGTTCTCTTTAAAAATTATTTTTGTTTAAATTGTTGAAATACCTATGTTTATTAAAATGTTTAAGAATCCCCCTTTTTAGTCTTACTAATTGGCCTTTATACCTTATTTTCTGGCATTGCAGTCATAGTATAACTTTGTAGATAACAAGGTTTTGGCATGCCATTTTCAAAACAATGTCGCTCAAGTTATGAATGATTTTATTAATGTATCATAATTATGAAAGCGTATTATTCCTACTTTATGGAAAGTCAGGAATTATATTGATACGGCTTATAATTTGTTCACTAAGGCGTTTGTGTTCGGGCTTCGTTTTTTTAAGGACGCACTGTATTATTTTCTGTCTAGGTCGCATTTTTAGTCTTAATTGGTCTGTAGAAAAATGAAAGGATCATAATCGCTATTTTCTAAAAGTCAACTCAAGGGCAATTTCAATATCATATTGTCCCCTAGAAATCATGTTCGGATTACGTAATACGTAATTTTCATGTTCACACATTTCAAAATGACGCACGTGCATAATGAACTGCCTTAGGCCTACGTTGATTTTGTCTTCATAGGTAGTTTCGATCGTGTCGTGATAATTCCATTTTAAGCTGTTTATTTTCCCCGGAAAACAAAATGTCCTCATTCGGCTCATGATCATATCTAGGCCGCAAAATCAGAAAATACTTGGTGTAGTCCCCCCCCCCCCCCCCAAACAAAAAAGTCTTACCATCCAACGAGGCTGCATACAGCGATCCAATGCCCTTGTTAGGTCGGCGAATGTCAGATTGGTAATGTAGAACGTCTTAATAGAAACGAGGTCGTGCTGGATATTTATCTGAAGCAGATTAAGACAAACTAAGTATAACAATTGTTTTAAGCCGACCTGCCATTGCACCTAAAAGGTCTCATATATTTTGAAGAAAAAAAAGACATTTTGGTCATAATTGTGTACTGGAACGAAACTATTTGGAGAGTTGTCCACCACTACCACACAGTGATATTGCCGATTATAGGACATTTAAAGATTTAATGTGACTGTATAGTAACTACAACTTTCAAAGATGTATACAATATTGGTGGCTTATCCAAAATAATAAAAAAAAATCAAACAAAAAGGTTGGGGAAAGAGCCCAAGAGGGGAAAAACTGGGCTCATCATACTCATGGGCTCATCATGCTTATATGGCCTTTTAAAAAATCATTATTTCATTTTGTTTGTAAAATGGCTAGTAAAATGGCGACCGTCTGGTATGCTCCCCAGGGAGTGGAAAATGTGCATTACTTGTGCTGCGGGTAAGCCTGAATCCGATGACCGGGGTGATAATACGTGCAGCGCATAGAAACAGAGTATTAGGCGCATTATGCATGTGAGCTATTATTCATAGTAGTATTATTGTGTGCGTGCCAAACGCGCAATAGAAATCTGATGCTCTTTTTCTTTGGCTTGCCATATAATTTACTGACTTGTGCACCCCTCCCCATTCCCCTCAGCCGAAGAGTTCTTGATACGTCATCATGGTTGCTGTCTATATCTGTAGAGGTATTTACCTGGTTGAGACATTGCAGTACTTCTAGATAGATCTTGAAGTCGTCTTTTTCAAGGTATAGGAGCGAAGGGATTTCTACGAAAATGCCAACAGCTTCCCGAAAGGTTACGACTGTCTCGCGAAATGACAAGGGTTCGAATTTCCACCAGCTGACCAGTCGGCTCAAATGATTCCCATTGCCAGAATCTCCGCATGTAGTTTAGATAAATGATAGCAAAATTAATCTATGGTTAAAGTTTTTCCGCCCAGTTTAATCAATTTGTCACTCAAATTTTGAGAAAAGCGTGTATCTGAAATAAGTACAAAATTAAAAAATGTTCCCGAACTTTCAAGTCATTGAAATGGGTGTCAATTTTTATACGCGATTTTCAAATGGATTTTCTGCGAACTTGTACTAATGACGGTTTCGTGAGAAGATGCCCACTCGCAAGTTGTAATATTTTCAGTTCAAATTACGGAATTCGCATTAAGGCGACATTTGCGTTAAATATTTTACGATGCATTACGATTTTGAGTAAGGGAAGATAAAAACGTTTTTTTATAAATTGAGATGAACGTTAAATATACATATACAATAATTTATATTTTTATCGGGCTAATAAAATTTGTACCGATAGGTCCTTTTTTGTTACCAAAATTAACATTTTTAGCCTAAATCTGATTTCTTTTACGAAAGCAGTTTGCATCATTGAGCTGTTTTAATTAATCTAAATATTTTATTTTTTAACAAGCAAAACAAAAACAGCAAGTGTTTCTTTGATGTAAATTTTTTTCTCTGAAATATTTAAAAACATACATGGCTAGAACTAAGCTAGTTTTTAAAGGTGAATTTGATTCGGAAATAGCAGAGTCATAGTAATCCTTACCATGTATCATCAACCTGCCTATAGCGGTCAAAACCTTCTGGCACCACTCTAAATGAGGATACCTGAAGACAGGACACTCTAGAAGGATGAGGTAGAAACGAAGATCCTCGTCACACCGATGCTCAAGTTGAATGTAACTGCACAGGTCAATGCGCACGACTTCCGATATCTATTAAATAATGACATGGTGACCCGCGATTTAGCTTCGGTGTCAATGGACCGTTTTGTAATGCATCAGATTTAAACAGGTGAAGAAAAACGATTGTAACATGGCAATTAACAAAGATTTATGAAATAAATTTGATTACATTAAAAGAATGGTCTATTTCTCCGGATTTTATTTCGTCAAAGCTACAGAGGTAAACGGTAAAGGTTGCAATTAAATGTTCGGCTATAATTAAGGTTAGAGTTAGGCAGGAGCGGATCCAGCAAATGGGAAGGGAGGGGCCAAAGGGGGGGGGGGGGGATTCGTGGGAAATTTTTCATCATCAAAACAGGCGCGTGCAGGGCGGGGTCTTTCTAATCCTTATCAAATCAGAAATGAAACATTATTTAATTCTGATTATAGGCCTAATAGGTTGAAGTGGAACAGTAGGCAAACACATCCTGAAAACAAAACGCTAGTGAAAATGCTTCTTAAAGGGAGTGTAGCATGGAGAGACTATGTGTCTTACCCGTGGCCCGACTAGGGGCCAATCGGGTATAACCATGGTCCATGGTGCAACATAGCGCGCTAACCACATAAAGATTAAGTCGCTGACTACCGTTAATCAAGTCCATTCGCTTACGTGCAGTTGTTCAAAAGAAGACGTAGATGGCATTAACTAGTATTTGCCAAGCTACACTTCCGTTAAGTATTCCTTTATTTCTGAACCCTAGGAGGAAGCCCTACTCAAAACTCGTAAGCATGGCATAGATTAGTCTAAATCAACTGCAAAAAGCTTTACTAGGATTTTTTTTCTTCTTGTAAAGAATAAGGGCAGAAGGAATTTAACTATTCCCTAATTTCTCAATTCCCACCCTTTTCTGATAAATTACATACAATATAAGAGAATTTACCCATTCAAGGAGCCTCTTCTTCGTGGAGATCGATTGAAATGCATTTCTTGCTGCTTTCAGATCCATGTTTAAGTCATTGACCTCGTGTGGCCTAAACAAAAAAGAACAAGAACAACACCAACAACATCAATAATGGCAATAATGAACATTAAAAAAATAACAACGATAACGATGGTAGATATAATGATAATTATAAAGATATATTGATTGATATAAGAGGCATCGCTGTTATATGGATAGAAACAGCCATGCCACGAATATCAAAGCAGTCTTTATATCTTGATGATGAAGTTGAGTTCTGGTCATGCGATTGCATTGTGAAAGAAACGGGGTGGAATCGACCAGAAACGGTTGATCATCTAGCATTAAAGAATTTGTGTGTATTGCAAGGTTCTGGAATCATCAATATGATAAGAAATTTGGCCAAGTCTTGGTAAGGTTACAAACACTGTACACAGAAAGATGTATATGGGACTACACGAACACGTGGCGTAAAAATCCTACCCCGGAGTTTTGCGATATTACATGACATATTTTGAATATGAAGGCATTTGAAGAGCCATGCTTTTCAGGGAACATGTCTTATCTGATGTTCTTCCACACTTGCATTATAAGAATGATAACGCTTACAAATTATTTTTCACCTCTTCCCAGAACTCAACCTTCTCTTTAGGTATACCGAATTCACACAAAAATCTACAAAGAATTCTTGCCAAATCCTTTTCTTGAGTAAAGATTGGTTAAAACATCGCAGAAAATCTGACACAATGTCTGTTAATCTTCGCTGGAAAAATTGCCTGAATGTTACAATCATTCGGGAATCGCACACGCTAAGCGACCAAATCGCTCACACACTGTATGTTAATATGGTATCCGCACTCGCACAAAGAAACATGTAAACCAATGGGAACCTAAGCAAAATTTTACTATTTCCCCGGTACCCGGAAACTTTCTCATGAACTATTGACCGTTACTGGCATTGTTCGTTTCCTTCCTGGCATGGCTAAAATCACGACTTCAATTTCGACCAATCAGATGGCTAGATTTCTAAAGAGAGATATAAAATAATGATTATGAACATAGTGAAAATATAATGCCAATAACAATATGAGAATAATAGTGAAAATGATAATCAAAATGGTAATGATAATTAATGTGGTGGTACTGTGAGAGCACATGTTTTTATTGTTTATTATTGATTATGGTGATATGATGATGACGATGATGATTTTTATCATTATCATTATTACTATAACAATTATTATTATCTTTAACATTATCAACAATAATGTTAGTAATAATAGTATATAGTATGTAAGTGCTATAGCAATATCATTCTCATAATAAATATCATAATCACCATCTTCATTATTTTTATTGTTATTGTTACCATTACATTTAATGTTGTTGTTTATTTGTTTGTTTGTTAGTTGGTTGATTTATCTTTGTTGTTGTTGTTTTTGTCATTTTTGTTGTTGATTGTTTTGTTGTTGTTTTAGGGGTTGGGGGGGGGGGTAAATTGTTACCCTGTCGTTGGGAAAGATGCATTCAGACAGGCTGCTGATGAGAATATTATTTCCGCTTCTTGAAGTGATGCGTTCTTGTTCATCCCCATGACGATAGTTTCATCAAGATCGCTCAACTCCTGGAGCAGTTTGGCGGAGAGTGTTCGCATCTCACTTCGTACAGAGACGGATCTCTTCAACTGTTTCTCCTGTAAGACGAGGAGAGCATAACGGACGTATGAGTATGATAATCTTAGAGCAGCAACTATATTCATTCACTTCAGTTTAATTCATTTCTGATTCATTTCCACAAAGTCATACAAACAGTAAAATGTGTGAAACAATGCAAACACAAATTCGAAATGTTACATTAGAAGAAAAAGAACATGCACTAAAGAACCATAAATACGTAACATGACAATTGAGTATAATTTGGAGGGACTAGCAAAGGCCTTTCAAGGGCTAATCCCCAGCGAGGTATAAAATATAAAACATTATTTCTCACTAGTAACAGCAAGGGGGAGGGGGGGGGGGGGGTGGGACATCCAAGTAACCTACATCCCACAATACCGACACAAAATGCAAAAGTAAAATTAAAGAAAGTTCGGAGCCAGAAGGTGAAATCAAAGGCTACACAAGTGGTTCAAAGGCCAACCAGAACGACACTAATGGACGAGTTTCCGAAACTTAACAGTAAAATGTTTTGTGCTATATGCATGATCAACCTTTTTCCCGTTGTTTCCACTCACTACATTTCACAAGGCAATTGATAGAGCAGAATTCCATGTTTTTTAAGATGATCTCTCGAAAGTCTGGTCTTGTTTTAAAAGAAAGGAAAACGATAATTTAAAAAAAACCCTGACCTACCATCTTATGCATTATGATGAAAATTCGCCGCCTGCTTTCGTTGTTGTTGTCTTGGTTGCCAACGACACCAGCTCCGATGTCGGCTGATTCTAATGCAAATTTAAAATCAAATTCAAATAATTCATTGGAATACAGATCTTAAAACGTATCTGCTTGATTCGGCACAAATTGTTCTCTTTCATAATTCGTTATGTTCTATTTTACTATTTTGCTTTTGTTTATGCAGACGCCTTATATGTGTTTTTATTGCACAGGTGCGCCTCGAGCATTTGACCTCTCTCTCTCTCTCTCTCTCTCTCTATCCCTCTATCCTTCTCTCTTCTTGCTCTCTCTCTCTCTCTCCCTTTCTCTACCTCTCTTTCTCCCCCTCTCTCTGTCTCTCTCTCTCTCCAACTCCTGCCATCTCTCTTTCTCTCCCTGTGAATTAGTTATAGTATCATCATTATTATTACTATTAATACCATCATCAACAACAACAGCAACAACATCATCATCTTATTTGGCATCAAGTGGGCCTGGGGCGGTTAAAGCAAACTTTAAAGATTTAGACCGGTAGTGGTAAAATTGCGGTTCCAAGGGTTCTGGGTGCCAAATATCCATTCAATATTGTATAAATATTCCCTTCAGAGGTTTAGATGGCAATACTTTAACCTAAATTCACCAAAAACAGAAATATATGCCAAAATGTTCAATGTTAAAGTGCATTCACGATTTATATGCAGGCCAGATCGATATGATAATTTACCAAATAGATCAATTAGTAGGCGGTGCCCCCGGCAAAATTTGTATTGTCAAATATTAGTCAAAACATATTCTTTCACATGATTGGTAATAAGAGCTTCCATTTCATTTTTTGAGAGGGGGCGTTTCCAAACCTTTAAACTGATTGAAACATGAATACTATTTTGAATTCATCTACAAATGTAATCAAATTTACCGTCCTTCTGAACTTTGACCTTCTGAACTTTATACAGTTCCACGTCAGCGTTATCCTGTCTGTGTGGCCATTCCGGTAGCGCTTCGGGTCCAAAGGTATCAGCGAATGTGGTTCCTTCTAGAGGGTCGAGTTGCAGGCATTGGGAAGGTCCGTCTAAATCTAGTCCACCTACCTCTCCGTGGTCCAGAACAAAGGGTCTACAGTTGGACTGCTCAACGACGAAAGTATAGCGACTGCAAGCAGAATATAGATGATAACAAATAAAATGATAATAATAATGATAAAAATAATAATGATAATAAAAATTAAACAATAGCCACATATTAATATAAAAATGGATCCCACCCCAAAATAGGCCAATTCGCATCCTCTTCGCAAATGCTACATATGAGATTGATATGATAATGAATATTTATAGAATATCATATATTGATTTTCAAGAAGTTTGTTTTTGAATACGCTTGTTTTTATGTATTTATTAAATTTATTTTTATTCCTCACTTTGACGACATGTATTACTACAAGTCCTCTTTAGCCTTATCTTATCATTTCATCAATATTTGCTTTAGGCAAATTAGCAAATCATTAGAACATAAAGTATCATATGGGTTGAAACTTATTGTTGAAGACGCTTACTTTTGTTGGTACCATCTGGCCCCGTCTTATCCACATTTGCGATTGATTCATATGAAGCATAACTTCATATCAATCGCAACTCTGTACTAACAAGAGATGGGAGTTGCAAGTTTGATGGGATTAGTTTGCTCTCAGTTCGGATAAATCGCAACTCTTTATTGCAGGCTTACTTCGAATCATCGGATCATCGCGTTCGGTCGGGTGGTCGCGTTACACGACTTTGCGTGAAACAAAAACGGAAAATCATGTAAAGATGCACGTTTAGGACGAGACCTTTCGTAGATCTGCCGCAACATGTTCACAAAGTGTCTGGTAAACTGGACCAGACCACTTGTAGATGAAAGAGGTTTACCCCAACATTTCGTGAATAAAGGAGCATGTTTTCACAGAAGGTCGGGTAACACGACCGCCCGACCGGAAGCGATGATCCGATGATTCGAACTACTAAGGGACTTGGTAACATTGTTCAGATGAGAGATAGTGGTGCTAAGGACTGGTAGTGACTTCAATGCTAGATGTACAATTAAAGATAATCTGAAAAATTTAGTGAAAACAGACCATTATTCATGGTACAAACTGGGAAAAACTGATCTGATCAATTTCTTAATTCTCCTAACTATATTATTACAATTTAATGACATTTTAGGTGAATGGAAATCGTCACAAAGCAATAAAATGGCTTTACATTCCATTCCAAGTGTCGACAGATTTTTTTAGAGCCTGTTTTATGTTTTTTTTTCATGGAAAAACTGTTGGGAAAATTCAAAAATGGTTGGGAGAATTTACTGTTGATCACTGTTAGAGGGTGTCATACATCGACTCCTTCACAGAAAACCATAGCTATCTTCGTGGTTTGAGAAATTTTTTTCAGGATTTGTTGCATGTCAGAGGGTTAGTACAGTAGAAGGATTATAGTAAGTAACATTTTATACAGAATTTAAGCAATTTTTTCATTAACCTTCAACAATGTCACCAAGTCACTTTAAAGGACGGGGCTCGAGTCTAAATACCCGCTATTTGGGAATGGAGAAGATTGGATTCCCGAGACTTTCCAAAATAATTTCTATAGCCTTATTCGTCACCTATGCGAATGACGTCATAATGACATATTTCATCATTCGAGCAAGGCTTCTGTGGGATATACAACAGGCCTAGGATATTGAAATTTGTTCTTTTGTTCATTTCTCGAAAATCCTTGCGAGCGTGTGAAAGACGCACCCATATGATTGCAAAGATGAGTAGAGATGAGTTTTATCTGTTCGTCCCGGGCTCACTTCAGTCTTGTACCACTGGTGTGGATGCGTTCCTACACCCATTCCAAGAACATACAGCTCGCCATTCTGCGAATAAATGAGAAAAATATATATTTTGCTCCTGCTTTAATTTCCTAAGGGATATAGGGTTAGGCTGAGGTTTCGATTGGGTTTTAGGTTTTGTTTAGTTATGGGAATGTATGTATACGTTTACGTCGTAGCATGTTTCCTTCCATCTCTCCGTCTTTCTTCCTTTATTCATTCATTTTTTTAATTCATTAATCCATCAATTTGTTTATCCATCTATTCTTTTATTCATTCACCTGTTCATTTATTCTTTTCATCAATACATAAATTCATATATTAATTCCTACATCCATACATTCATGAATTCATCCATTTATACATTCACACATTTATTATTATCATTATTATTTTCATAATTATTATTCAAAATTATATAACGAAGTGAAAGCCAACAGCAAATTCTGTAGAATTTTGCAGGAATTATGAATATGTCACGTATGACCTATCTATGAAATTTAAACGTTAGCAGTGTACTGATATTCAAATTATGCAAGGAAACCCCTTTTACTTTCTAGACTTTACTGTTACACACTATTGATTGACTGACCGACTTTTTGTCTTTGGTAATGACATACATAAACTGAGCTGTTAGTGTACATGAGCATTTGTCCAAATCAGTAACCCACTTCTTGCAATGGCCAAAATCAATTTATTTATTTTTATTATTTATTATTATCCACAGTTTATGAGTGTTAATCCCACTTTTAAATTTAAACGTTAGCAGTGTACTGATATTCAAATTATGCAAGGAAACCCCTTTTACTTTCTAGACTTTACTGTTACACACTATTGATTGACTGACCGACTTTTTGTCTTTGGTAATGACATACATAAACTGAGCTGTTAGTGTACATGAGCATTTGTCCACATCAGTAACCCACTTCTTGCAATGGCCAAAATCAATTTATTTATTTTTATTATTTATTATTATCCACAGTTTATGAGTGTTAATCCCACGCTTAAATCCTTAATAGCTTCCAATTACCCGTACTTGATGTTAAATTAATAATTTTAGACCAGAAAATATAAAAAAATACAATTTGTTTCGATCTTTTGGAAAAGAGTCAACCTACCTTAAATAAGAAACTGGTAGAATTTTCTCCACAAGAGATGTGCTTCACTCCTTCCCTAACTAGCTTTAACTGGTAAGGTATCTTCACATCTAGACCAAAACAAATGGCGTAGTAATATCTTTATCTGCCTATTCATTTTGTCTTCAAAAAGATAAAGTATATTAGTGTCAGTTTATTGTTTCATATTTCACATATATTTCATAATATGAAATCATTTTACACAAGTGATGGTACAAATAAACATACATTGCTCTTTACATAGACAAACTAAAGAAAAATGAATATAACATTCTTTTAACCAGAATATTACAGATTTTTCCAAAGTGCATTATGGATAAGCGGCGCATGATGGTTTTTCCCAAAGCTTTTGATTTTACTTCGTTTGTTCGATTGTTTTGTTTTGTTTTGTTTCTTACAAGCTGGAGCGTTTCGCCCAGGTATCACGCAGAGCCATCTATATACACAGAGTTTGGCCAACTTAATTTTACTGGGTCACAACACGGCATCAATTCTTTTGTTTTTTGCTTCCCCCCCCCCCCAAATAGTAGTCACCATATTGTGTCCAACTCGAACCAGGTTGGCCAAATTCTGCATATAGGCCCAGATGGCTCTAGTTCCAATTACTGTATAGCACATAAGACATTGAAAAAATAAATGATGCTTTAAACTGTATAATAAATTGGACTAAACAACAATTGTATTTTTCTCGAATACAAAAGTCTGCACCGTCCTTTCGGACTATAAAACAATATATCAGGAATAGTTACACAAATGAGAGGCAGTATACTTGCTAACAAAACTGACAAATTCGATAAAAAATGGATAAATTTTAAGAAGATTTTGATCGTTTAGTATGAGTATATTGAATTTCCCACATCATTTTCAGTCATGTTGTTGCATTCTTATTTTTTTTTTCTTTCCCTAATATACATGTATGTTCTGTATATACAGTATTATCATCATATTATTGTTTTCAATATGCTACGGTTTCAATAATCGCTTATTATGGTTGATATTCGTTATGTATATCTTATTCTGAACTATTATATGATATTCATTGGTACATTTGTTCAAATATGTTATTTGGAGATTGATTTTCAATAAAATTGCGGATTGGAAGGTCCAAAAAATGAAGAAAAAACAAATATATATATATATATATATAAGACATTGACCTTACCTTGTGTTACTAGGAGGCCTAGTTGTCCGTGCGAGTTACTGCCCCATACATAGACAGAACCACTTAAGGAAACAACGGCGGTGTGTGCGCCCCCAGCGGCAATATGTTGTACTGTAACGTTTGCGAGGCCTTTAACTTGAGTCGGTACTTCGCTGTGGTGTCGCGTACGCAGCTGCTCCCCGATACTGAGCTGGCCGTTGCCGTTGCTTCCCCAACAAAACAAGCGCCCATCTGTCAACAACATTAACAACAACAAAAACAACAACAAAGTAATAAATTATATTGTTTATGGAATCGCAGAACTATAATGATTAGATTTGTACTGTAATAACATTCGTTTGTAGGAAGAAGATTATAGATAAACCAATTTAATCATCCCCTAAGTATTCTTTCATACTTTGTTCATTACCATTTTTAAAATAATTGTTTAAGGAAGTGAACAAATTAATTTGTCTTGATTTTTATTTCTTACGAATATGACATGACATATCAAAGCTTACTTCTAAAAGTATTCAAGAAAGGCCCTAATTTAACCAGTCCTTCCTCCATTATCAAGTTTCAAACAAACGAAAAAGCAATTTTACAAGGGGTATGAACAATTCATTTGTGAACAGTACACACACACACACATGAACAAATACACATATATGTATTTTTGGTAACTGTGAAAGTATGGTAAAATATTTACCTGGAGTGAGGGCGAGGGAGTGGTTATCCCCACATGCGATTTTGATGACGTCATAGATTGATAATCCCGCGATTACCCTGCGTGACAAAGAAAGAGAAGTTTAAAAAAAATGAAAGTTGACTTCTTTCGACTCAAACAAAATGAATTTAGAAGGATCTTTTCATCATGAATGTCGGTAAAAAAAAATAACGCGAAACCATCTTGAAATGACTTATTTTTACATAAAATAACAAGGATCTAGGAGTTTCGTTTCATCAAGTTAATGGTACATTTTTTATTTCATTCATTACAGGACCTATCTACTCTTGTTGACGTTGTTTTTGCACCTATCGGCTTCGTGCAAGAGATGCATACAGCCTCAACTCGATGCGGATAGATCGTACAATGAAAACTTGAAGGCATCATGTGTATACTATTATCTGACATTGTTGCCTAAAATATTTGTTTATTTGTTTTCTTTATATTTGGTTCACCTTGGCTTTGGAGCTTCTTTCTCTTTGTCCTGCCTTCTGTGGTGCTTTTGTTTCTTCTTTCGAAGCCCGAGTTGTCCGTAATTATTCTTGCCCCAGCTGTAGACCCTGCCACGGGCAGAGAGAGCAAGGAAGTGATGTCGACCACAGCACACGCTCACGATGTCAACGTCAGGTTTGTCATCACCTTCGGATGTCGTGAAGTTCACCTTGACTTTTTCAATGATAAAAATAGGCTTATGATAATTAATAATAATAATAATGGTGGCTTCTTGTATAGCGCACATGTCCGTCACGTTGTGACGCTCCTGGCGCTGCCCCAATTATTACCCTGGCTTTAGCTTTATTAATAGTAAGTTTCGAGTTTGGGTGTCCGGACACTTAACAACATAGAGCCTTCGGTTTTACCTTTAGATTGAACGAAAATGAGTAATTTAATATCAGCAGCCATCATGAGTATTAATTGTCCTTTATAATATTGTCCATTATAGGTCTCTTCTACTTCTTCCCCTGCTTCTTTTTCTTCTTCGTATAGTTGTTGTTCTTGTGGTTTGTGTTGTTCTTATTATTCTTGTTTTCCCCTCTCCTTCTTCTTCTCTACCTTTTTCTTTTTATCTTCAAATTCATATTATTATAACTATTACTATCATTATCATTGACTTTATAATCACCAGCATCATCATCATTATTCCGATTATCATTTGTATTACCATATTTGTGTTGTTTGCTAGCATCTGTCAGGTCACATACGTAGACACGCCTTTCGGATGTAACCATGGCGATGCACTCTGAGTTACTGCATGCATCTCTTATTGGTGTCCTCGCTAAAGGTCCTTTCATAATCACCATGGCAACATCACTATCCTCCGATGTTGCCATTTTATTGTTTCTAATTTGAGAACAGTTAATAAGAATCGCGTTGCAAATCTTTATTATTTTTTTGTATTAAATATAATTATGTATGTCTAAACTTAGTGCACTTTTGTAATAATCTGAGGACAGTATTTACTGTTGCCCATGAAGTTAGAATGACTTCTATTATTCTCTTATCAATAGATAATTGGGAAATTATCGTGAGTTATTCTTGATAGATAAAGTTTAGATCTTAGAACTTCACTGATTAATCTGAAAAAAATCACTGAGATTAATTCATAAGGTTCTGTGAAGATATACATTTTATATTTTAGGAACAAATCATATTTGTCACAATCATTTGATAAAAAGAGGGGGGATATATGATTGGAACTTTATGGAAAACAGTGTAATAAGTACACCGAACTATGAGTTTCTCTCATTCGGGGATATGTTCCACTGAGACTACGTCTGGCTCCAGCGGATGTTGGGGGGGGGGGGGGGGGGTGGTGGAGGGCTCAAAAGTCAAAGGATGCAAACGACTCCTTCAACCAGATTGGAATTAATGTAGCATTTGAATAAACAAAGTAAATACTAATAAACATATCAAAAGCTTTTATACTCATAATGAATGTCGCATTCATTCAATTTGAAAATGCCATCCTCCATTATAGGAACTATGGAAGCGAAGTCTATTAAAAATGAGGATGTATTATAAACCAACGCTGTAATCGATCCACGCAGGAGAAATGCCTTGATTTTGTTTTAATTCATCTGTACTTTCCACGACCGGTTTACTCCACCATGAATCTGTTTACAATATACATTTATTTATAGACGAAATATCTTCTGCACGTACAGTCCACAGTCTCTTGTTATGTCAATAAATCTTGAAATAACAACAGCTGGGAATTCCCATAGAAGAAGTTTACAAAGGCTTTTGAAAAATCAACTCAAGCTCAGTACCTTGAATATTCCATAGAAATTATATTTAGATTCACATTGATACGCTAATTCAATATTTGTACTCGGTTATGGACATGGCTATTAACCCTTTGAGAGCGAGCCCGCGCACAGCGATTGTTTCCCCTGTGACGGAGCGATTTCGGTTACATCGCCAGTAATGGAACATTTGGAGGTGCTTTCTACTTTCGCCTACCATTGCGCCTCATTCAGTCATTTTCGTGATTTTTAGTAAATGTAAAAATGAAAGATCAGACTTTTTTCTTTCTAAAAATATAAGTTTTGTTCTTCAATACGAAAAATAAGGTCTGTTATTTTTGAGGGAAATTGCCGTCTTATTTTGCTGAAGCTTCACGTCTTTCCTTTTCAATACACTCACAATACAAAATGCGCAAGCACCTCCGCAAGCGCAGATCGGTCGATACCTCCATTCATTCCCCTTTTGTCAATGACAATGAGAATGTAGAACGGACGCGCACGTACGCGTCCGTCTCCAGCTGTACGGTTATTTCGATCCGAACACTAACTTAGGGTAAAGTTGAAATGATATCACCTTTTTCTCGATTTTTTTTCCACGTAACTTTATTATTTTTTTTAATAGATGAGATGAATGAATATATCTAAATAATACTTTAAAGAACTTTAGCACATAATATCTAATAATAAGCTGAAAAACTTTGTCAACAAATTAGGGATAATTCTGTAGAAGCCCGTCGTCTCCAAAGTGTTAAAATGCTTTACATTGAGCCCTTGAAAGTATTTGCGATTGTGCTGAAGGAAAACAAAGTATTCAAAGGGAAATGGCCACTACTTCCCGAGGATAATTTGTAGGATATAAGAATATAAATTACATCGGTTATACATAATACATTACGCCTCAACCCCCCCCCCCTCCCCCCACACACATATTTCCTCTGGATTGAAGACTATTAACCACGGCTCCGCCTTTATTTCTGGACTTTATAATATTATATAATATATGCCACTCATAGGGCACTTGTCCATTCTCCCCTGAGAATCAATTCACAATTGTCAATTTTTTGATATTTAGACAAAAAATGAAACTGACGATGTTTATACTGAAAGTCTGGAACAGTAATTGCAACAAACCTCAGCCGAATGGGTGACGTTTTTAAATAAAAACATGTCGTTTGGCTCAAAGTCACTTTCATGATATTTCCACAATATACAATGATAACAAAAATTGCAAAATTTGAATTAAATGAAAACTCACCATTGAATTGCGTTTCTATGCCACAAAATCTTACGCTCAGAATTAGTCAAGATTTCAGCTCTATGCCTACGATCTACGTTTATTCCTCGTTTCGGTATGGCAAAACATGTCCAATATAATCTTTAGACTTATGCAAAAATATGGTCGTAACTCGATGGTATGATCTTGTTTGTCGCTATTATTGTGGATGGAGCGTTGGGAATTCCCACTTACTGCGAAATGTAGGCATAAACGTACATGCAATACACAGCTGTTTACAAACAGTCATGCTCGGGAACTGGGGAATCCCCGCCTGCTCTCTCCCTCCCTCTCACTCTCCCTCTCTTTCTCTCGCCCTCCTCTTTCTTTTTCTCTTTATCTCAGTAGTCTCTATATAGTGTATTTATCTCGACCCCCCCCCCCACAGAGGCGCCTTTCAGTTTTACACAACAGCTCATAGAATTCGAAGTTAACGTAATATATACGGCATTATGCTTTAAAAACAAAATAGATGTTTGTTAATAAAAAATGAATGGTGTGAATTTTGCTAGATTCACATTCCAGCTGGTATCACAGTTGGTAATAGCGTTTATTGAATTTTTAGTTCACATTATCAGTTTGACGGAAAGAAACCCCTTTATTTCATTTACCCGCATAAACATGTTTTTGGGGGTGATTAATGATTATAAAGGCGAAGCACGTTCATACACTTGCGGTTAGACTCCTGCGCCACAAGTTTGCATGAAGCAGTGATGAATATTTACTAGGCTATTGTGTAAAATGGAAACGTGCCTCCCCGAACAAACTATGCCGAAAAACATGACCAATATCAAACTCTAGGTGGCACTAAACCCCTCTGTAGCAAAACATCTATTAAAACAGATGACAACTAAAGGAGCCGTGCTTTTAAATAAAAACAGCTTTGAAATATATATTACAAATTTAAAATGTTTAACAGCAATTTGATAAATAGTCACCTTGAAATCATAACTCGACTGAAATTTCAATGAGGTGGATCGACAGGTCTGAACATTTGCTGGCCACAAATAAAAGTTAATAATATTTTACCTACAGATATACACGAAAATTTATGTGCACATGGACTGTGCATTCAGGCTACGTGCTAAACACACATACACACACGCACACACCCATACACACACACACACACACACACACACACCACTACACGTTTATGGCGTCAAACGTGGACCAAGTTTAGTACTTGTGTGTGTGTGCATGGGTAATCGCCAGCAACCGCGGACCACTCCATAGAAAACTACATCAAACAGCGGACGTACCTGCTATGGGATGATAGCAGGTAGCGCGCCTTTCCCGCGCAGTCATCGAAGGGGGCGCTGTGACATTTCGCGATACACATAGGACTGATCCATTCGATGTTCCGTACACGCTGTGACATCTAATATTCAAACGCCCCCTACGTCGTAAATTTTATACGGCGGAACCGGTATCGCAACCGTGGACGGTCCCCCATTGCAGGTACGTCCGCGGTTTGAGGTAGTTTTCTATGGAGTGGTCCGCGGTTGATGGCGTTTACCTACGCACACACACACACACGAACACACACACACACACATATATATATATATATATATATTACTAAAGGCGTCATTAGAGGGACATTTGGAGTATTAAAAAAATGAGTCATTAGTAGACGTTGTCATTAGGAGGACAATTTGGTGTCCTCTTAACGTTTTTTACGTTTTATTTCTCATAGAAGGCCCAGTTTTTTTTAATATATATATTTGAATTTTACTATAAAGCCGTCATTGGAGGGACATTTGGAGTGAAAAAATGAGTCATTAAGTAGACATTAGGGTTAGGGTCAGGGTTAGGGTTAGGGTTAGAATTTTTGTGATGTCCACTTAATGTACCATGTAGGATTATATATATATATATATACATATATATATATAGAGAGAGAGAGAGAGAGAGAGAGGGAGAGAGAGAGAAGGGGGGATGTATTCAAGAAAGGTGAGGATATACTCCTCACGAAAAGTCGAACATTCCAATGTAACTTTTTACAAAAACCTATATTAAATTACAAACATCAAACCAATGGTAGAGTGTGCATTCTGTGATACGCTTTCAGATACAAAATATTTATTTTATAAATGCAGTGTAGCTTACTGAACAAATACATTGGAATATCCTACGTTTTTCAAAAGGGAGTACTCACTCATGGATACGGTTCATTTCTGTCTCTCTGTAACTCTGTCTCTCTCTCTCCGTCTGTGTCTCTATATCTCTGTCTGTCTCCATCTTTTATCTATCTCTCCTTATATTCGTCATTCATTCGTCTCCATTTTCCGTTTACTTCTTCTCTTACCCACCTGAAACATCTCACTTATTCTTCTCGAATCCACTAGTATTGAAAGGTTTCGAAACAGAAAGAAATTGTTTGAAGGCTAGTGGGATGTGATGAAGTTTTGTTCAAATCAAATATTTTCAAAAGAAGTATTCAAGTAAGTACAATGTATAGAATTACAATTACTATTCATTGAAGAACATTGAGAGGTATGTCCTACTTAAAAATGTCCTTGGTTGGTTTAGATCTCTTATGTTAGGGTGATTAGTATATCATATTTGTATTATAATCAAACTGACAGTATTCATGTTATGGCTTCCATCATTACAATCATATTTTAACTTCCTTCACTAGTTCTTTCTGCTATTTCTACTTATCATGATAATAATAGTATATTACCGTTACTTAAACACGAATAGAACTACTACAACTTCTACTACTACTACTACTACTACTACGACGACGACGACGACTACAATCCCTTAATATTAAAAAAAAAATAATAATAATATTTAATATCGA